GTGCAAAAACAACAAGAACAAACATATTTGCTAACGAAATTGGCAACGAAAAGCAGCAACAAACCATGGGAAAAAAGTTAATGATCTTATTTGTCAGTCAAATAAAATTAAATTTATTTTTAAGATAACAACAAAATTTTGAATGTACTATTCATGCATATTTATATTTAATAATATATAAATGTGCATTGGGGTGGTCTTTAAAATGTTAGCATCTAAATTTTGTATAAGGACTTCCTAGAATATTTCAAAATATTAAAGAAATGTGTAGGGGTCGATGAAAGAGTGTGAAAAAATTAAAATTTTTTGTGAAGATCGCAAAATTCTATAAAATCTTGACTTAAAATATTATACACTCATTCATATAAATTCATAAAATGACTGAGTTATAACTGCTCAAAAACAAAATTGTATCGTTTTTTTTTTTAATCCATTTTTTCAAACCCTAGTAGCCATCTCTATTTTTTTAATTTTTCGGGAATGCGTTTGTTGATATTTTTAAGGACCACCCTAACGTTCATACATACTTATATACAGGGTGTCCCAGAAGTAACGTGCCAAACTTTAGGGGAAGGTAGGTGGGGGGGTGAGCTCCCTGATAAACAAAAAAATTTCAGGTTTTGAAATATTTACTTTTTTTCGAATTTAAAAAAAAATCGTGCCTTTTCGTGTGTTTTCTTTAACTGCAACTACAAACCGGGCAATACTTAGTAAATCTTTTATGTAAAATACTTCCAGATAGTTGCCTCTCCATACTCAAATGCAATGTAGTTAAAATATATTTAATCATAAAATTAGGACTATTTCTGGATTTTTAACTTTTTGATATTTTCTTCCCCAACTTTGACTATCTCGGGTGAAAAAAAAATGTACTGAGCTATAACTTTACATTACATAAAAAAATTGCTCATTTCATAAAGATTTCAGAAAGGTGCCACACTTACTGTTTTGAATAGAAAATAAAAAGTTATAGCCGCTTTTGTGGGTAAAGGACTGAGACAAGCTAGAATGTATTTAATAGATTTAAATTGAATTTGCTCGTGTTACCGTCAAATGACGTGCTAAATAGTACAAAGGTACATAATTACTTGCTTCTGACATTATTAGGTGGCAAGCAAGTGTTGAAGTTCACCCTTACTTTCACATTCACATATGTAATTTGAAATTTTTACGAAATAGTGGATGCATAAGAATTCACTCGTGTGCTGACGAACGCAAAAAAAAAAATAATGCTTAACAACATTTCTGTTAGTTTTATATTTGATGCCGACCAGTGCAGAATATCCAGGTGCCTAGTTAATGTCACAACGCAATCATTATGTACTCAGGCTTATAATATTTTATTTTTTTTTTGTAAACTTTGTTTTATTTAAAATAATACAGCTCAGCAGCTGCGCATAAAAAATGCAATAGGCCTTAAAGCTAACAGTGTATAAAGTCAATATTTTTATAAAAACTTGTTCTTTGTTTTTGGTTTTGTTGTTGTTACGTTATGTGCACTTTTCAGGTTGGCACACATTTGTGAAAAAAAGTATGTATGTAATTGTTTCCAGTTTCAATAGCTGCGCTTCGCATACAAAATGTGCGAATGCCTTTATATGCAGGACTTTTAAACAATTATTATAATTAAAACTTTATACTTGTTTGAAATACAATATTTATTTAGTAGCTGCAACCTTTCAAGGTTAAAAGTTGTGCACAAGGAAAGTTTGGAAAGTTGGAAGTATCTGTTTGTAGATCCGCAATACAGAAGCAATAAAATAAAAGTTGAAGAATGGCACTTTAATGTAGTGCATTAAAAGTTTTTCTACCTGTGGCAATTGTAGTTAGTTATCAAAAAAAAATAAAATAAAATAACTCAATTGAAGATACAAAATCACATTTGTTTTTGCAATACATATTGACAAATACTATTTTGAACGGAAAATTAAAATTTTAAATTGTCTTTGATTGGCCGTTTTCTCAAGTAAATTTTAAAGTTTATCTGTCCTTTAAACATAAATTTTGTTCTCAAAAGCTACTTGAGGAAAGGGCCTTAAACAACAACAACTTAATTTTGCTAATATGTAGTATTATTAATTATTTTTTAACGGTTTTTCGAATATTTTGTTTTCGTTAATCCAACGAAACAAACAAAAATAAAAACCCTATACTAACGAAGCAGCGAAGGAACTGAAACTTGACCTTATCAGAAAAATACTTTGATGCTATTCGTGTTTAAATATAATTTCGCGTTGAGCCGCGGCTGGTTCGGATGTGGCTAATTTTTAAGTTCAATTTTCAATCTCGGCACGGGGTTCGCACACTGTTGCCGGCCAAAGCGCTCAAAGCTTGTGGTATGCTTAAATGAACCCTAGACAAAATGACCAAATATTTCCCTCAATAAGTCAATTGTTTCACGGGCTGTATAACGTGTGTCCGCCGGAGTCTGCATTGTAAGGAGGCACGCGAGCTTCGCCATGACTACAGCGGACCAGGGACTGTGCATCTGCTCAATATAGCAAGGGTAGAAATATATTTTGAATTGTAGCAACTAGTTATTAATAGGAATATGTACAGTGAAACCCGTTTAAGTACCCCCCGCTTAAGTACCTAACCCGCTTAAGTAACCAACATTTTTGGACACGGCCTCAAGCTCATAAAAATTGTTGAATATAATTGTTATAAGGCCATAAAAATAACAAAAACAAATAACTTAAGGACGAGCACACCTAAAAGTTAAACATTCTAATAATAGAAATATTAACAAAGACCAACAAAACCAACAACCACATGATCAAGTGAATTGCAGCGGAGTAGCTGCGCTTGATTGTAGTTGGCTTAGCAAAGTGAAATAGTGGAAAATAAGCAACAAGAATTAACAAGACAAGCTTAGCACAGTGCGTAGGCAACTGGCTGAGTCAGTGGTGATCGTCGGTTCGAAGCCTACTGAAAGAAGTCTGATGAGGAAATGTGGTGATTTCCGAAATAGCTATCACTTCTACCATTTTTTCAAATTATTGTTGCTTTTCCACAATAAGTTTCAAGCTCATAAAAATTGTTGAATATTTTTGGACACCGTGAATTTTTTTATATAATCTGAAGAAAATCCCTCTGTTAAGTACCTCCCCGCTTATTTACCCAATCCGCGTAAATTCCTAAATTTTTCGTGCCCCATTTACAATTTTACTTGAAATTTTCCCCTTGTAAGTGCTCTTTTAAAATTCCTTAAAATATGTACTTATTTTGAAGTTCAGTAGCAGCGCTACACACCTTCGGTAAAAAAAATTCAAAAAAAAAACAACGATAAATTTTAGCCAAACTTGCACATTATTACATCTAAATTGAATGGGCTATAAAACTGTATACTCAAAAAGCACTTATGAGAAAAAAGTATGAAATTATGATGAATCGTTTTTTTCGAGTGTTCTACAAAATCTTAAGCTTAGGTTTATATGGTATTTGTTAGGGAATGAACTGTATTTTAGTTGATTGAAAAATCTCAAAAATTAATAAATAAACATACATAAGTGGCAAACAATATCATTTTGAATTTGGTACAAAATGGTATGTCCAGCTTTGACTTTTTAAACAATTTAATTCTTGTATAAATGACATACCATTGCACTATATATTTTTTTAATAAAGTTTTTCTTTACTTATTTATGTGTTTAAAAAAGGTACGATTTTGGTTTTAAACTATATATACTTAATTAAATGTTGTTAATAAAGTATTTATGCAAGTTAACAAGAAGATGTAACTACATTAGTAATTATGTTCGCTTAAGTACCCGCATGGAGGTACTTAAGCGAGTTCTTTTAAGTACCCAAATCGCTTAAGTACCTCAAAAAGCTGACATTTTTCGTGAGGTACTTAAGCGGGTTTTACTGTATGTAGTAAGGAAAACAAGTTGCTACAGAATATGCCGCAGCTGCTGCGACACTTCCTATGCGAATGCCCAAGTCTGATTTGCTTAACCAGAGTAACTACATTTTTGGAAAAGTACAGCTGCTGCAGGAATTCTACAAAAAGGTGTTACATTTAGCCAAGTGTTAAGGAAATCGCTAATACATAGCTGGGCTACTCTGGTTCTCAACACCTCATACAATTCATACATATGTTCTTTCTGCATAGTCAGCCTGTCTCTCACTTAAGTCTCAAGAATATTTAATAACTCTGAACACACTGTACAACATAATTACGTCAGTAATTCTAAGCATTGAACCAATTAAACGCGGCTTTAAATGTTATTTACTGATAATGATACGTCTGCCAGCAAATGTCCATAGGTATGTGTGAGTGATTAAAAATCCGTCTACTGGCGGACTGTCAAGACCCACTGTGGAAGCTGGAAGTGTGTATAAATGGATGAAATTTTATTTGTATTTAGTTTATACTCGTACCAAACACTTGTGCACAAGGTATGTATGCACGTATGTACATATGAGTATTTATGTATGGCTATATACGCTCTTTGGACCTGTCCAAAGCACTTATCAGTATTTTAAAACTTATTGCTTCGTTTAGGTGATCATTGTTGTTGCAAGCCCTAAGCCAACATCTCCTCACACACACGCACATCTGTATCTAATCTATCTCACAACAGCGTCACAGCAATCAATATGCGACCATCCCAGCCAGCATTTTCAATCATAAGCGGCTCGAAATCGAGTCTTCTTAGCGCGCAACTAATCGCGCGACGATCTGATCTCTCTTGCGGGTCGTATGTGACGCTGCTGGGAAAGAAAAAAGTACCCTTCATTGAGTGCGTCCTAACGATTATAAAGCGGTAATCTAAGAATCAGAAAAGATTCCTGTGCGACCCATAAATTACTCGAGAATGCTATAACGCGCCGAACAATATATTAAATGCTGGCTGGGATATATTTCCTACACAACTATCTACGAACCCATGGAAGTACACACACAATCAACATGGCGCGTAGAAAACAAAAAACAAAACTGGTCATCAATGTTAAAATTTTGATGTTTCATTCTTCAATCGAAAAAGTCAATCAGTAGTTCCTACACCATCTCGGACGCTGCATCAATCTTACAGCACTTTCGGCAGTAAGCCAACGATTAAGACAGGCGGCGAGCACCACAGTTCGATCTTGTCAGCGGAGATCATTGATACGCGCACACGCACATCAAGTACATAAATCACAACCGGCAACAACTTTAACCTTGACTACGAGCCGGCAAATTCATCACAGCCCTTACCAGCGGCAGCAGGAAGACCAGCGGCAGACACACACAGCTTCCAAGCCACACACGCGTCCCACGAAATGTGGCTCCTCATACCGATACTCTTGTACTCGGTTGTCTTCCTCTACGTGCGGCATGTCTACACGTATTGGAAACGTAAGGGCTTCCCAACAGAACGCACTGCTTTGTGTTGGCCATTTCTCAAATAGGTTTATCGACGCGAATTCCAATATGTGAGCGCGATCAGCGAAGCATACAGTGCCGGCGGCCAGCGGCCCTTATATGGCGTCTACTTCTTCTTTCGGCCAACACTGCTGGTGCGCGATGTGGCCTTGGCGCGCACCATCCTCGAGAGTCCACATGGCCATTTCGATGACAAACGCTGGCACTACATGCAGGGTTTTCGTAAAATCAATCTGCTAGAAAAATTGGCGACGATCTTTAGCGTGCAGCGGGTGGAGGGAATGTTCCGAAATGTGGAAAAAGTGACCGATCACATGGTGAAGCACTTGGATGCGATAACCGTGGCAAATGATTATGTGGATATGCAGATAGTGTTGAGAACGTGAGTAAGAGCGCGGTGCAGGTGCGAGGGTGGGTTGTGTTATAATCAGCGATTGCCAATGAAGCTGCAAAGAACTCGAACTAATTTCCATGGTACTAAATAACCGAAGTGAAATGTTAATACTTAGTTACTGATCTTCATATGCGGAAGTCAAGGCGCAAGAATACGCGTCACATCCTGAATAGCCTCGCGAGTGTGACTTACCAAGAGTAGGACTTGTTTCAGTTAAGAAACTTGACAAAGCATCTGAGATATTTTTAATATTTATTCCAAGTACTAACTATGTAGTTATGATTGTTTTTGCAACAAATCGCTTACAGAATCAAATTTTACATCTCAGTCTTGCCTTTCCAGCTACGTCATCAACGTCTTCGCTAATCTCTTGTACGGTCTAGACAGCAATATATTCGAACAGCATGATAGTGTTTTCAAGACCTACATACAAAGCGCGCTCCGAAATCGGAGCTTAGATTCATAGTGAGTGTTGCTTTTTTCATACGCTGCTAAATTTTGTTGTTATTCGCCAATAAACTTTTTCTTTTACTATCAGCACGCTCAATCATTTGCCAAAGAAGTCATCGCTCACCTATCGGCTGCGTGACATTGTCAAGGACGCTGTGGGACGACGCGAGGATGGCGGCATGATACGCAAGGATATAATGCAGTTATTGGTGAAGTTCAGGAATGGCAATAATTTGAACAATGACAGTAAACTGAATTGGCATGTGGACAATGTATTTGGTTAGTGGAGTTCTGAATACTTTTAATTTAATTAATCTTTTATGGTATATGAAACCCACTGCCCTTAGAACGCGAGAAGCTGCTCTCTATTAAGAAACTTTCGATAGTCACTGAACGTTTTCTAAATATCGGTTTCGAGTCCACCGCCTCAGCGGCCACACTTGCCCTCTACGAAATTCTACAATCGCCCAGCATACACAGGCAGGTACTCGAGGAAGTGCGCAACATGGCTGCAGCAGCTAAGACTGCAGCTAATGGTGATAAGAAGTTGACCTATGCGGACATTGATAGCCTCCAATATTTGGGCGCCTGCATTAAAGGTTGGTGCCATTTTGATTTGATGAAGGTCAAACTAGAAATACAAAAACAAAATTTGCTTTTTCTATAAATATTATATTGCGCATAGAAACTGTGCGCAAATACCCAAGCGTGCCGTACATCGAACGAGTTTGTCGCAAAAATTTCCCCATACCCAATAGCCGTGTCGTCATCAATGAGGGACGCACAATTATGGTGCCGGTTATGGCGATGCACCGCGATGAGCGGATTTTCAAAGATCCGGACTACTTTAGACCAGAGCGATTTTACAATGTAACGAGCGGCCCGGACGTGGACAACTTTATGGGCTTTGGCATGGGTGCGGGCATTTGTGTGGGTGAGTAGCGCGGAGAAATTAAAACTTTCAATTTAATATAAGTACCAACGTATTTAAGAACCTTGACCACACTTATTGTACCTAGGTTTCACTATAGCCGATATGCATATAAGAAGCTTAAAGTAATGTGTTTTT